CCTGCTGTTGGCCATCATTCGCTTCCTTGTATGACATAACAACTGCCTAACCCGAACCCGAACCCGAACGAAGCCAACTGGTGGGCAGAGCAGAAAACAGAAACAAGTCGGAGACGACGGCGATCTTTACCTCCACGAAACAGAAACAGAAACTGAAACAGAAACAGAGTGCGGTGTAACCAACCAACCGACCGACCACCCCACCCGTCCTCCCCGGTTCAGACACCATCAGCCAACCCCCTCTGGGTTCCACTGTGCTCCACTGTGCTCCTCTGTACTTGTGTGTGTGTGTGTGTGTGTGCCACATTCCAGTTTTCTTGCCTTGCGGCTGGAAAATCCCGTTTTTCCCCATTCACTGATTCGATCAGGCGGCGTCGTAATGAAAATGAAAAACGAAAGAGGGAAAAAACGTTTTTTTTTTTAGAGCCGAAACCAGGCATACTCTAGAAAAGGATGCCCTGAATGATCAAATAAGCGATGAGGGATTATAAAGGATCTGTAGACGGATCTTCTTAATGGCATTCTATAGGAAAATAGTTCTTGCCCCAGTGTGTGGATCCGCTTAAAGAGATTGCCCACGGATTGCCATATTCTTGAGGATCACTAATCGGTGCCAGGATCAACTGGTCTTCCACCCAAGACAAACAATAACTCATAAGTTATCCATGTAGAATCTTGGGGGACTCTAATTACTGGTCTGATGTTACAGACTAGTCACTGATCCTGCTCATATGTAGATCGTAGATCTTTGATCGAGTTAATAAAAGGAAAATCTAGCCATATCTGATATCAAATGAATCGTGATATTCAGTTCTATGATCAAGCCAGGATCAAGATCTTCATATCTGAGAAATATAATTAATACGGTTGCAATTTCTCTTGAGTTGTTCTCTTAATGAATCTATCAGATCTTTCCGTACGTTCTTCTTCAATCATTTCTCTATTTTGAAAACCAATCGTATAGAAAATTGATTAATTTATTGGATGGAATATCGGAAAACTGAAATTGTATTGCTGTTCTGTGATCGTCCAGCTCCATTCGATACCAGCTGTGATATCTGAATATACAATAGTATTCCATGACATTCTCTACCATAATCGAGAACCTTCTTTAATGCTTTACTTGGTACACACAAGACCAAGTCGGCAGTCAATGGATGGTGCTCAGTTTTCCCGGCTAGGGGCTAGGGTATAATGTGAAAATGAAAACTAACAATGCCAACTGTTGTAATTGCAACAACAGCAACACCGAACGTTGCAACGTTGCACCAAAGTCATCGTCAGTGGTAAATTGCGAGTTTTACTTTCGTTTTTCCTCACGTAACAGCAGCAAAAGGAAAATGGTGTTAGCAGGCAATGTTACCGTTACAAACCAGAAGAGCACAGCGCAGGGGAGGGGGAGACGAGACAGGAGAGAGTAGAGGAGGAGAGGAGGAGATCAGGAGTTGAAGCTATTGCATGTGGCATGATCAATTTCAAATGGTTGCATGCCCAAGCAGGAAGTGCCACGAACGACTTCCCTCTCCGCTCTGCACCCCTTTCACCATCGCCCTCTCCTCCGCCTCCTTCTCTGCCCACCTGCCCACCCATCGCCGGCATCGATTACAGATCCAGCAGCGGAAGCAGGGGAAGCCATGAGGAGGCACGGATAGAGAGAGAGAGAGAGAGATCTGCGACGCGGGTTCCGATCCGTAAATTGATGCAAGAATTGAAGATAGGCCCCGCTGGGGTTTCATTTCCTCGATCGTGCCGCTCCGATTATGGGAAACCAGTTGGAAATTATTGAGGAGCGAAAAGAAATAACCCAATTCGAGTGCTATTTGAATCGCATTATCCTCATGTACCATACATACACGAGTATGTATGTACATACATCTAACAACTGCCTTCTGAATAGCTCCTATGATGGATTATGCGGAACTTCTAACCTCTAAATGATAGTAATCCGTTCAAAAGATTAATCCGTTCCTGTAGGTATGGACTTGTATCTGTATCTATTAATCTATTAGGAATTACATCCGAGGAGTCTTCTCTGTAGCTCTTCTTTTTCTGGACTTTATGGTTTTAACGGATAGATGGAATGGATACAAAAACTGGAAAGAGATATCAAAGAAAGAAGAGCATTCGATCCCATAGATAGCCATGTCTGTCTGTCCCTCTTGCTTGTCACCTAGTCTTTGGAGAGAGCTCTAAGAGATTCTAGGATTCCATGAAAATGTACGCAATATTTTTCTCCCTGTCTCTTCTTCTCTTTCGCTCTCTCTTCCAGTGTGACTTAGCAGGGTCCGGCTTGCACTATCCCTCTTCTTCCACCACTAGCTCTCTGCCGTTCGTTCTGAAGGGTTTTATCTTAGGATTCACCCAGACCTGTCCAACAATTACAAAATCAAATCAAATGGGGGAATCTGCATATACCATCGTTATCCCTATCCTAAAAACACCATCTAGCTTCTTAAACGGCTAGGATACAGGATGGAATGATAATACTCCTCCTCTCTTCTGTCAGGTCCATCCACCAGTCGGGTTCCTGTTTCGCTGATGAAATAAGAGGCGTATCTTTTGGCTGATCGCATACCCCCGGCAGAGGTCTAGGGCCTCGCACACAACACCGCTCGCCCACAGCACACCCACCGATGCCGCCTGCCTACCGCCTGGCCGTAGCCGTAGCACGAAGACGTAATCAACTTGTAAGCCCCGTTCGGGCCACACCAAAAGTGGCCAAGAGCCCCGCCTGGCTTCGATCTCGATCCACGTTAGGCTGGAAAAAGCTGCACCAGCGACGACAACGAGCATCATTACCATTTGGCATGCCATGGCATGGCAAGGCAAGGCAAGGCATGGCATGGCATGGAGGAAAATGCGAAACCCGTTTTCCATGGAAAGCAAAGAGGCAAATGTACACACACGAAAAAAAAATTAAGTCACCGGTAAAAAAAAAAAAGTGCAACTGCAAAATGCAACCGCAACTTTTGTGACGATCACCTACCCCGTTGCATGTGGCAGGTAAGGGGCAAGGGGGCAAGGGGCCGAGGGGGGCACCAGTGCTGGGGCAGTCGATTACTTCATCGTCCCGTCGCGTCGTCGCGTGCGCCAGAGAGAGAAAGTGGCAGGAAAAACGTTGCAAAAAACGAAAGAGAGAAAGAAAGAAACAAACAAAGACGACGAAAAAGAAAAACTGGAAAACCTGCTACGACGATCGGCAAGATGGCGTGTCATGGTTGTGCCTACTACCCCGGACAACAGCAACAACAATTTCCCCATTTCCCATTGCGGCCGCCGCAGAGCAGCGGACTGCGGGCTGCAGCGTGCAGCGTGCAGCGCAGTTTGTTGCAACTTCAGCCATGATTATGTGGCATTAACTTTTGGGTTACGCAACCAGGCAATGCAGCAATGCATGCAGCGGCAAATGGAAATTGCAAATCATATGATGCACCCCTCTGTCCCCCAGTGTGTGTGTGTGTGTGCGAGTGTGTGTGTGTGTGCACCGCAAAATGTTGCGCAAATGGAGTCGGGCAAGAAAACAACACCAACAACATTCAAACAACAACCGACTGAGAGACAGACCAGACGGAGGAAAACAAGGAAAACAACATCAGTGACGGCGACAACCAGCTGTATGGACGGGAGGGGGTTGGGACAGGATGGGGTGGAGGCAGGGTTGGGGGCTGGGGGTTGGGGGATGGCGGCGATCGTCGTCGTTGAACGTGAAAAGCGGAAAAGTTTTGCAGCTCTTGTGGCACATAAAACATTCAACGCGAAAGGAAAATGATATGCCAAAAAAGAAGCAAAAAAATGTACGAGTAGCGGGAGAAGGAGAAGTGGGAAGCAATCGGAACCGACTGAAGGGATGCCCTAACTGCAAGGAAAAGGGGACAGGTAGAGGAGAAGGGTTGTCTCTACTGAGACAAAAGAAAAACATAGCATACAAAATGGGCTAAAGGTAGGCTGGAGAGTACCTTATATCCGTAGAATATAGTACAAGAACACATCAGTTATCAGTGATAGATGGGTATCTGTGTTAGGTAAAATATGCCTAAAATTATACTTATTACTAGACATTAACTAAATAACCATTCCAAGGATATAAGATATATGTGTACATATATTTTATTTTAATGTTTACAAGCTTACTTTGTTGAGAATGCCACCAAAATACTTAAGTGTAAAAATATAAATAAATAAAATATATACAATTTTAGAAAACTTCAATTTTGGCTCCGTATATCTTCAGGTACAGCCAGCCATATCGATCGGAATAAAACATCCTATGAAAGGTTAACAATTCTGCTAAATTGTTAGGGATACAACAGACCGCTGCAAGTGCCGATTGAATATTTACAAAGAGCGCAAAGTATTTTCAAAAATACTTTGGGAATGTACATATTTCAAATTCCAAGAATGAGAACGTGATTTACTCATCTAGGCCTACAAGTTCATTTGTTAACCAACAGAATCTTCTGATGCCCAGATTCATGTAAATGTCTATCAGGTGAGCATCCACAGGCGAATGATTACGTGTTTTCCGACTAAGCCTTTTCTATGAAAGGAATACAATAGAATCTGGGCACATTGAGGGACACAAGCAATCATTTTTATGCAATACGTACTGGGTCCAGTTCCCAGGTAGGTATATCGTAATACCTCTAAGGAAGTATCATTGATCTACAGTCTTAATAAATGATTACGATCATGATCATATCTCTCTTCCAGCATCCCTTTATAGACAAGAAAAATGATCTTTGGGGCGGAAGAAGCTTGAATATCGATAGTAAATATAGGATATAGGACAAATACTAGGTATGTGTAGTGATCCGATCAAAGATCGTAATAGTACCCTCTGCAAGTGTATCCCAATGACAACCTGTGGGTCTCATGGGGTCACAGTGGTTGGAGTACACTTTATGCCGTTGGAGATAGGCGCGGTAAGGGGGTGGATTGGCGCGGAGGTATTACATAATTCTTCGATGGGGGGGCGGGGGATCGGGATCTCAATCACTCACCTGAATTGTGTGATCCTGCTAAGGTCTGCCTTTCCTCCGCCTGGCATGTCTGCAACGAGAGTGAAAGAGACAAAAGCACAGAGTGGAGGAGTGAGAAGAGGAATATCTTCAAATTCATGTTTACGTATAATACAATGCCCCACAACGCTACCACTGCCACCCCCATCCCCATCCCCGTCCCCACCCCCTTGTTCGAGTCTAGAATGCCTGCATGTGCAGCCGATTGCATTTCACTCTTGATTTCGTTTTTCGCTTTTGCTCGTTCGTTCGTTTGTTCGTTTGTTCGTTCGTTCGGTCGGTCGCTGGGTCGTTCGTGCAGGAAGAAGAAGCAGCAGCAGCAGCAGAAGCAGAGGCAGTGGCAGTGGCAGAGGCTGCAGCAGCGGCTGGCATGCATTAGAAGAGAGAGCAGCAGCGAGCGAGCTTTTAGAGAGCAAGCTCTCTTCTCTCTATGCTTGATGTCTCTCGCACACTGGCTGCAGTCTGCAAATGCAGCGCTGCTGACGTCGTCTCTGGTTATTCAATAGTGCTGCGCCTTTCTGTCTCTACCTCCCTATCTCTGTCTATCTGTGTCTGTGTGTGTCTGTGTCTATGCCTATGTGTTTTGTGCTTACGCTATCTGCCGCCATCGACGACGTCGCGACAACAACAACAGCAATAACAAACACATTGCCTCGCCATGGTATTGTACGTTGCCTATTGCCACTGCAACGACTGAAACGACCTCCTACAGGTCTTTGACCCACTGTTGACGAAGCTCTCTCGCCAGCCAGCCAGCTGCCTCTCTTGCTCTTACTCTCGGTGCCATTCTCTCCCTCTCCCTCTCCCCTCTCTCGCTCTCTCGCTCGCGTTGTGTTGTTGTTGAGATTTTCATTTGCACGTTGTTATTATTTTCCTCAGTTTGGTGGGTTTTGGGTTCTACTTCGCATTCTTTTTGCTGCTCCGTCCCGCTGCTTTTCCATCAGCCTATTGTTGTTCCCTTTCTGTTCTCCCTTTGGGGCTGCTTTCTTTCTTCGTTCTACCATTCTTTTGTTGCTGCTTCAATCCCTTTCATTGCGGCCCAAAAATTACTTGCATTTTCAATAGATGTACATATGTATGTATGTATGTATGCATGTGTGTGTGTGTGTATGTGTGTATGTAATTTGTTTTTTTAGAAGTTTCGAACGAGGATGCCAGCGTGGTGCACCTCCCAATAGTCTTTAATCTTCTCGCCCAGAAATATTATCTGCTTTCTGATGCTTCCCTCTTCCCCCTTCATTTGGACTGCTCATCTTTTTGCACTCAAACATCCCCATATTCGTGGTACTCTTCTCGACTTCCTCCCCACTTCTGCTTCTTCCCCCCTACTTCTGCTTCTTCCCCGCCACTCATCTTCAATAGAAAGCTCTCCATTACTTCGTTTGCTCTTCCTCCCACCGTTGCGCTTCATTCACTCCGTTATCCTTCTGCACTCCACCTGTTCCTTGCTCTTCCTTTCCCGAACAGGAACTGGGTTAGTTTGCCCACAATATTGCAGCTCCTTGTCTTCCGCCTTGCTCGACGTTCTCTCCACATCCAGATCCATCTTTCATTCATCTCTCTTTGTCTTTGAGCATCTGTTTGCATTTCGGGGCCCCAACACCCCACAATAGTTGTTTGTTGGACCCACCGGGAAGTGAGTTTAGTGCATTCTTAAGGGTGGAGCTGCTAGGTGTCAGGTGACAGGTGGCATGTGGCATGTGGCATGTGTAGCACGTTGACTTGTCTTTGCCATTAGAAACTGGCGCAGCCTTCGGACCCACTGTAACCACTCCAAACTTCTGATATGACACGAAGACAGGCACCGCACACACACTCGCACGCCGGCCTGTCCATATGTGTGCAGAGGGAGAGAAAAGGACAAAGCGATAGCGGCAGAGAAAGAGACAAATATAGAGACAAATCACTGCATTGCTCTATAAACTTTTAACCCAATTCTGAATGGCTTATTTACACACAGACGACGATGACTCTTTTTCTTCTTTTCTCTTCGTTTCCTTCGTTTTTCTTTATTTATACGCAACTACAGTGGAAGCCCCCTCGTAGGGACGTCCACGGCTGCAGACGAATTCCCCGTAGATAGTGCCGGTGTGTTCGGTGTCTGCCTTCTGTCTTTCCCATTTCTTATGGGAAATTATTACAGCGAATCAACGTCATTCGCGGAGCAGATTGTGTTCGTGTCGAGAGAGCTCCACTGTACTGTTCACTGAACTACTTCAATGCCTTAGTCCGCGCCTCTGCTTCCTCTATCGTGGGGCGTAGAAGTTCCTGCCCTTTCGGGTGCCTCGTTATTTATGGGGCTCGATTGAGTTCGAAGTATTTTTTCATTAATTTTTTATTTTTAACCTCAGCCCAAACAGGGCCAGGCGATGGCCCCAGCAGGGAAAGAGCAACTAGATAAGCACAAAATACAGAATGGATTGCACAGAAGAGCCAGAATTGATTGATCTTTCATCTTTCAGGTGCCTTAGGGATCATATCAGAGAACAAGTAGAAACTAGTGAGAACAACTTGTACCCCTATCAAACGAAGTAAAGGAAACCATTCCATCCAGTCACATCAATCACATCAGTTCTTGTTGCACATTCAGGCATAGATACAGTGGGGCTTATTGAAGAATTTATAGGAATATGCTCGCCATTGCACTTCAATTTTATCTCTGGCTCCGGCACTCTTTTGCCCCGTTTGTTTTTCTGTCCCGACCCGTCCCGTCCCTCGAGTAATCTCTATGCATTGTTCTTTCGTTTCGCTATCACTCGTTCAATGTTAGAGGAAAATAAAAATAGTGCAACTGAACTTATCGCGTGGTTCCCTTGAACCATGTCGAGTGCACCAGTTTCAGTTGGCCGCAAGAAGAGCCATTAACTGTGCAAGTAAATATGTTTTTCTTCTATATCTTTTCCCCAAAAGATTATGAAGTTAAGTTTGTGTTATTCCCAAAAGTCAATCTATTATAGCCAATAGATATTTCGAAAACAAGGTCAACATTGGAACAGACTCCCCTCTTTCTCTCTACATTTTTCCCACCTCTCATAGCAAGTGCGTGCAAAATTGAGAGAGATCGCGGTCTGTCCTAACAAAATCTCGTATCGTATGGTTCCTCGTAACTAAAGAATAAATGCTCTGCTTTCCAGCATAGATACAGCCAGGCGTGTGAGTGGTATAGACATAGGTATAGGTATATCATAGGTATAGACACAAGGATTCCCGATTCCAGTTAGGGCTCCCATGACCCGGCCTAGTTCAAACCGCCACATACATACTCGTACATGATTATTTGCACAATCTCTATTAAATCGCAATCTATGCTATTATTTTTAACAATGCATGCTATTAGTTCGCACTTAGACGGAGCGGCCACCATTGATGGACACCAAAGGCTGGAGACGTGCAGCGTCCAGTCCAGTCCAGCCTGCTTGTTTCTCCTCAAATACAACGAGTGCGAGCCTGAAGTAGGGATATCGGTTACCGCTTTCAGAGATATGCAGCTCAGAAATGAACCACAGATACAAATCATGGCTGAAGAGATGGCACCACTCGTCTCCGATACGAATGGGTAGCATCCGAGCATCTAAATATATGTATTTACCAGATGCAGGGAGCCTTTCATCCTTTGATCAGATACTGTCTGGCGACGTTTAGCTTTTCGACTGCCGGCGGAATCCTTAATTCCGTCCATTGTTTTTCGGGAGGGTATCAAAAGGTGCCGCACATTATGCATGCATGATGTTTGAAGTGGGGTGGCTGGTGGGAGCCAGGGATGGCACTGGCACTGGCACTGGCACTGGCGCGGGTATGCTTATGCCCATGTGTGCTGGCTGCTTGTTTATTTGTTTTTTTTTTGTGGTGGGGTGTGGTGGGGTGTGGTGGGGCGGGGTGGGGTGTATGCCTCTGCCTGGGTCTGGCTGGGGGCCTACAGTGGCATGCATGCATTGCCCTCTGTCTGCATTGCCGACGCCTGCAACAGCGACTGCAACAACAGCAACATTTGTCGAGTGCCGACTACTGCCCTACATTCAAGGCAACGACTCGGAGATAAGCACACGCATACAGAGCCCCACACATGCCACAGGGAGAGGTTCAAGAGAGAGTGGGCGGGCAAAGGAGGGGGTGGGGACTGGGGACTGGGGGAGGGAGGCAAACTGCCACTGCCATTCAACTGGCAGACACTTCTATGGGGCATCCAAACGTTGGGGCCACACACACACACACACACACACACACACACAGCCATATGTAGCCACACAAATTGTGCTTCAAGTTCCAGACACTGGTTCCTGCACACACACACACACACAAACAGATGCATATACGTATACATAGACATATGCGCGCCTGTGTTTGTGTAGACATTCTAAGCGGTCATAGTCCCAGTAAACTTTCGCTGGCCACATGCATGAGAGTGCTGGGGGGACGGCGCGGAGTGGTAGCCTGTGGGTGGTAGGTGGTGGCACACTGGCAAGGCTAGTGGCATGCCATGCGGTGGGGTGGCTGAGAGTGGAGTGCAGTAGATCGGGTTGGACTGAGTTTTAATTCTTCTTCTTATTCTTTTGTTGTTTTTGTTGTTTTTGTTTTGGGCTAGCAGAGTGGGCGGGGCGTAGGTGGAGGACACAGGAAGACAGGACCCAGATGAGAGGGCGGAGGGACAGTTCTGGGCGTGGGGTTGGCTGGGGGTGGGGCTGATGCCGATAGTTAGCCAACTAACTAGGGTAGGGGAGGGGAGTGAACAGAACTGAAATTGCCACAAATACAGACTTCATGTGGTGGCAGCAGCCCCCAAAGGAGAGGCCGTGCTGCTAGCCGTAGCCCTACATCATCCGCATGTAAATGGTGGCCCCACGTGGGTGATAATCATATACACAGGCACACAGGCACGGGCATGTGCCAGAGTGGCCATCTGTGTGGGCGGAGGTTGATGAATTTTGCAAGAGACTCGCAGCGTGGGTGGTCCTCGCACAGTTAGGCCTATACCTATAGCACAACTACTGCTTTAACAAAAATAACAAGCCGTTATACATCAATATGAATTAT